AGCAAACAATATTTTTATCTTGATGAGGTCTCAAGACATGGAAGTGACATAACAACTACTTTATTTTTTATTATAAATCTTCTGTTATTCCCTATATTTAGTTGTTCTCAAATGAAGGAAGATTTTTACAAACTGAAAATCTTTTTTATTAGTTATTTGTTCAACCAAAGTCATAAATTTATCATCATGGCATTCAATGAGCTGGTTACTTCCAAGAAACAAGAGGTGAGCACCTTCTCTACTAGGTCATTAAAAAACTTAGTCTCTTTCTCCACAAATATCATATCTTGAAGGCTTAAGATAAGCAAATTAGGGTCCTTCAAAATTGTCATTGTATTGGTCTGAGAGAAACTACACTGAATTCTATTTTCCATTCCTCAACAGCTCGGCATGCTTTCTCTCCAACTGAAATGTCCCATGAAAGTTTTTAGTAACCACTATTATCTATATTTGATGGCTTTTTCTTGGTTTTTCACTCCTTTCTTTCTTTGAGGTACTCAATGCTGCTGAATGGTAGCATCCATAAAGTTTTCTTTTTTTATATTTTATTTTATTTCTGTTTTTATTTATTTTACTTTAAGTTCTGGGATACATGTGCAGAAAGTTTTCTTACCTTCTGAAAAACCTGAACTTTCTGGTTCATCCAACTTCTTTTCCATTTGGTCTTCTCCTATTGGTCTCCTTCAGTGACCCCTTTCATTCATTTTTTACAAGCACTGGCATCCTCCATAGTTCCCATTCTGTCTCTCTTGGTGACCTCTCTTCATCTAGATGTGACTTCATGATGATGACTCTTAAAGCTTCATTTTCAGTATTCACCTCTCTCATCTTACATAGGCTTTAGTGTGAAACTTCCTGATAGAAAATTCCCCTGTGCTTCTAACAAGCATCTCAAACTCTGCATGATCAAATCCTAACTTGTACTCTCTACTTCAAAATAGATTTCCTTGTTATTTTCCTTTTGTCAGCTTTAACTCCTTCTTCCTATTCAACTTATAAGGAATTCAAGGTGTTCTATAATCAGGGAAAAAAATGACCTTTCTAACTTTATCACTTTTGTCCATCATAAATTTTTGTTCTGTTCACCGTGCTCCAAATAGTCTGAACTTTGCTTTCTTCTTGTTTTTATTCAAATCATAAAATTTTAAAAATCCAAAAGTTTAAATTTAATTTTCTGTGTGATGTCAACAAAATGTTTCTCAGCCCAGTCTTCTCAAACAGTACAATAGTAGCCTCCTTCAGAGAGTCTGTGTAATGACTACATAATCTAATATATGTCAAAGTATCTAGCACAGTGTTTGGCACATTGTGCCTTTGCAATAAATGTTCACATGTCTGTTCATTCATTCATCATTCTGACCCTTCTCCAGTACCTCTGCCATGAAAGTTTTGTTCCCATAGCCCCTTAACCTCTCAACTCTATCCTTCTCTATCTTTTATTCATGTATAAGTTTAAAATGTTACTTGGCATTCCTAGAGTAGGCTTTCTACAAATATATTAAGTACCTTAAAATGAGACACCCTACTTTCCACTTCTGTGCATAAAGGAAGTACCGAAAATATGGAATCTAGAACTACTTTCCTGCTAGTTATCAAGTAAATTTCATACCAAATTTAGTATATTATTGCAGATAGAAAACAGTTAAGTAATAGTTGTTCATTTTAATCACAAATAATAAGGAAGATAAGGTGACAAATGTTTTATTTCTATGACAAAATGATACATTGCTGGATGTCAATTATTTCTGATAGGAATCAGGAACACACACATATGGTGCTGTAAAGAAGATATGCACTTTGGCATATTTATTAGAAGCAGCACATTAATATTTTGTGAGTTATCTAGAATTTTCAACACTGACATCTTACATCCTAAAACATGTGTTTGATAACTGGTTAAGTAGCTTCCTTTGATGTATCATTTACAAACTAATTGTTTTTCTTCAAATGAGTTGAGTTTATTGCCCTTTTGGTCTTTGCAATACACTGAATAGTTAAAAGCTACTGAATGTTCTTATCTTATTTCTGAGATTATCATCAAATCATTGGCATTGGCTTGTGACATTTTAGAACAAAATAACTTTTTTAAGCATAATCTATGCTTTCATAATCTGCTACTTCAAATCGCTGAGTTGTCTCAACAGCTGCTTCTTGCCATTCACCTTGAAAATAGAGTTTTTTCATCTACTTCAATCCCTTTAGAATTCCAGATGGGGTTCCTATAAGTTATTTCTCTCCAGAAGCTGTGTCTTATCATTTCATCTCACTGGAAGCCATAGGATGACTCATTTTTAAAGAGTGCTTTTAAAATTACCAAGGTATAATATGTGTATTTTAATAAATTCAAATAATACTCAAGTATGTAGAGTTAAAAGTAAATGTATGACCTCTGCATACCAATCACACATCCCTCCCCAGAAGTAATCCCTATTAACTGTTTGTCTGTATCCTTCCAGACTTTACATTTTACAAATATATATAAACACATAGGTGCATAAGTTTAAAATTATATTGTGCATTTACTATTATGTTTTTTTCTTAACATACTGCTACTTACTTTCTCTTTAGTAATACATTTTAAACATCTTTCTATATCTGTACATTCACTTTTAAAACTTCTGCATAGGACATACGTAAATAATTCATTGAGTCTGCTTCCTGCTGATGGACATTCAAGTTTGTTTCAGTCTTTTATTATTAACAACACTGAAGTGCACATCATTACATGCATATTACATGCATGTATTTGTGTATTTATATGAACATTTTTGAAGATAGATATCTAGAAATAGTATTGCTGGATTAAATAGAATGTACATTTAAATTTTGATACCTACTTCCAATTGTCCTCCAAAAAGGCTTTATCAATATACCCTATTTCCAACCACATGTGAGAATCTACATTTCTCTCCATGCTTTATAATGTTGGATATCATTACTTTTACTTTTTAATTATTTATATTACCAACACCTTGCTAACCGTACTTCTTCTGAAACAAATGTCTTCATAATAATCTGTATAAATCCTGGCTTATTACTGAGATTTTCCCCATAATGGTACAGGTTATGAATAGGTACATGGATAATGGTACATGTTAAAATATGCAAATGTAAAATTGAAATTGCAACCCTAGTAAATTAAGCTGCTTTGGAACGGTGTGTATATCTCCTAGATGAACATTAATGGGAGCAAATTACAAGACATTCTGTAAAAGGAGATTGGCTAATCCTTCTTCCTTAACAGTAGACAGTAAATGTAAGGTGTGGTAAGCAGAGTGGCAAACAATTTCTTGCTTTATCCTACAACAGTGGTTTTAGAATTGTTTCTAGGAGACCTAGGGTTCCCAGGAGATCTTACAGGGTCTGTACAGTGGGGAGTGGGCAAGGTGTGTGGCAGGGAGAAGGCCGAGGAGGACTGGCTGGGGGCTTTAAGCTCCCTTCTTCTCCTGCTCCGACTTTTTCAGTAACTCATGTCTATTTTATACATGGAGCTTCTGAGTGAGATAATGTTTGAAAGAAAAGCTGTGCTACTAAAAAATATAATGATTAACCATATTTGTTTCAGAATCCAAGTAAAAATCTTTTAAATGAGGGGGCTGCTATAGATGGCAATACACTTTGATCTAATTTCTCTAGTTGCCTTTCACTGGGCCAGTCATTTGAATTTGTAGTCTTGGGAAGAAATTAAAGAAGCCCAGTGCTGGAAACTGTGATTGAAGTGTCTTCTCACATTGTATCCTTAAGCAGGGATTTTATGAAATTAGATATTACCCTGCTCTCCACTGCCACACCAGCTCAGGCACTCGTTTCTAGTTCAGATAGGTCTCTTGATTACTCTCCTCCAGTTTGAGGAAAAGACTGAGAGTCCTAGGCTCTGGTAGTTCAATGTTTAGGGACTTGCTGCCTTTTAAATCTTAAAGAGATTGACTTTTAAGTTACCTGCTCCTGCCACATCTCTTAGTGGGAAATCACTGCAGAAGCCATGCGGAGCTTATGTTTTCATGTACAATGTTACCAAGCATCCCAGCCCTGCTGTCCGGCCATTGGCAGTTCTCATCTCTTGTCCTAGATCCTGCATGTTAATCTGAAAGCATGCGTTGTCTTGGCCACTGTCCTCCAGATGCCAACAGGTTGGTCCAGAACTTTCAGAAGTCAAGTGCTTGCATGTCTACTTCCACCAGCACAGCACGGCTCTTATTACTAAATTTCCAGGGATTATGTGCTTAATATTTCTGAGCTTTCTATTCTTTTACTCTTTTATTAGCTAGTTAGGGGAGTATCTACTTGAGCAAGGTATTTGCAACTTTTATCAGCTCTACTCTTAAAAACCAGTAAGAATATTGGTATCAATGCTACCTCTCTATGATGATTCATCACCTATGAATGGAGTCATCTTTGTCTTAGACTAGGAACACTTCACTTAATATATATTAAGTATACATATACACATATATATACTTTATATATATGATATATAATATATATACACACACATGTATATATACTTAATATATAAATATTAAGGATGTGTTCCATAGTATACAGATACTCGGGATACTCTGTGAAAAAAAAGTTTCTGCAGTCAAATGTATTTGGGAAATAATCTGTCATTCTTGTTGATTCAAAATGAGCATTAGAAAGGCAAAGTGCTAAAAATATTTCTTGAATTTATTTGATCGTACTTTAAAATTACTTCTCCAGTTTCCCTTTCTTTTTCTCTCCCTCTTTCTCTTTGTAGCAAGTTTTTTTTTTCTTTTTTCTTTCTTTTTTTTTTTGTTTTTGGAGGAGAGTCAGTTCTGTCTTGAAGGTACAACTCATAAATCCTCCCAGTGCCCACACTAGGTGGTGAGTGGGAACAGTGTTTGGGCATTCCGTGGGTGCAGGCAGAATCCTTTCTGTTTACCCAGAAGTCCCTGGGAGACTGCATTTTCCTGAGACAAAGCACAGAAGAAAGAAAGACCCCTCTGTGAGGCTAGCAAGCATGAACCACCATTCCCTACCTGAATGGGTAGGCAAACGCTATGTCGATGCTGAGGTTACTTTCTGTCTTGTTGACGCAGTCCACACTCAGCCGCAGGCCTCCAGAATAGCCACCACATGTTGCAAATGCAAAGATTGCAAAAAGCTGTGGAGAACAAATAAACAAACAGAAGGCAGTTATTAGGATGATGTTGCTCTAATGAGATATATCAAAAGCAGCTTAATGTCTGGATTGAGCGAAGTTATGGTCCTTCTGAAGAAGAGCATTGCACTTGGTTCAGCTGGAAGATGAAGGTAGAATGGAGTAAAGACTGGGGATGTGGTGTCTAAAATAATTGTCTGGCAAGTGAGAGAAATGTGGCTTGGAGAATAAATAAAGACAATCCAAAATAGCTGTGTTTGAGTGTGTAAATAGCTGTCATGCCTCAGAGGGCACAGGCATAATCCCATAGTTAAAGGCCTGGAAAGCACTGCACCAACTGGTTAATAATGGATGTCTCCAGGTAGGAAGATGTGGGGATGTATCCTGCTCTCTTTGTTTGTCTGTATTTTCTACCATAAATATGATTTGTCTTTTGGAATAATATATATCAGTATTTCAAAGTCATGGTCAGAGAATTCTAGAGCTGAGAGTTTGAGGAAGAGTAGGTGAGTTTCTAAGAGGTGCTATTTTAGAGCACAAGATCTCAGTATATTTCAGCTTCCAACTTTCACTGGTGGTTACATCTCTGTGTTGGTTGCTGCTTCTAAGTCAATATTAAAAGTTTCAACAGTTAATGTCATGGTCTGTCCTGATGTAGAATGTGAATCTGTGGGGAACCAGGCACTAATAATTAGGAGCAGGGACTCTGAGAAGTCTCCCAGGAAGAAGAGACACTTGGAAGACAGGATGGCCTAAGAGGGGACATAAGCAAATACTAAACTAGGTTCATTTCATAATTTGGCTAAGCTCAAAAGAATTTCTTGCTCATTTCTAAAGGAAGTCGATGAAATGCACCTAACACTAACATGCTGCAATATTCCAATTTATCTTAACTTTGAAATTCAGCTTCTTACAATAGTTTGGGGTCATTATTGGAAACACTAGATCATTTTGCACAGTGAGAGGAGTTATTGCACAGAAGTCAACTGGGGTCAAGGGCTCTGGAATGTGACCTTGGGAAAGCTGCTTAATTTCCTCATGCCTTGATTTCCTCATTGAAAAATAGCATTGACGGTAACTCTTCTGGGTCATTTTGCTATTTGTGGTGTGACACAGACAGTTACTGTGGCCAAGAAGGCTGCTGGAGCTGGCAAGGTCACCAGGTCTTTCCAGAAAGTTCAGAAGGTGAAATGACTATTATCTATAACACCTGCCACCTCAATCTTAATCGGGGTAGAAAAAAAGCCTCAGAATTTTTTTTGTCTTAATTGGCCACTTAACTTTAGTAGGAAAAGACTGACTGATGATAACAGGGCATTGTGAAACCTTCACAGGCAAAGCAGTATTTTGTGAGTCACGTGTGTGTGTGTGTGTGCGCATGCATGTGTGTGGCAGTTTTAAGTGACTAGTTTTTAAAATCTATATTTTAAAAATGGAAAGAACTTGACCAAAAGATATAAGGATTGTAGTAAGAGTGAAATGTGTTAACATGTGGAAAGCATTTAGAACAGGTCCTGGCACTGCATAAGCTCTCAATAAATGTTAACGAATATTACTGTAAATAGCAGATGCTCCTTAATAAGATGTTCCGGGCCATAAAATAGGAAATTTACACTTAATCCCTAGCTAAATCTGTCTGGCTGTCTGCCCCAGTGAATCAACATTCAAGCAGTCCAGAAAAACTGATCTTTTTAACTTTGTTAGCTTTTGTTGCACAGGATTTGATGAAGCATTCAGAAGCTATTCCAGCTCGCTCCACAATCTAGAGTTGAGACACAGAATGCTGAAGCTGAAGGGAATCCCATCTTTAGGCCCCTGATGTGGACTTGCTTTCTCCTCATGACCAAATGCTCTCTTCCTGTAACCAATTAGTATTAGTCGTATTAGTAGAAATAAAGAGAAAGTTATTTTAATGGTTCAATGCTTAATTCTAGTTTTCATCAGCCAACACTGGATGTCGCAACCCTTTGTGCCACATCAAGATAGTGTCTTTGGTAAGAAAGAATGGAACGATGGAGTCCAAAGCCCCATGCTGTGGCAACGGAGATAGCCCTTTCTGTCTCCAAGTTTCCTTATCCATAAAACAGGGATATCCCCTATGTCTCTCTGAATTGCTGAGAAAACTAAGTGAGATGGAATATGTATTTACATGCTACCCTCTTCCAATTCATACAGAGATTTGTGTGACATTTACATTTCTCTGGGGCCAGGAGTCCTAAGTGTGTGATAGGCAATTGTGCAGGTAAAAGTAAGAAGGGATTGTACATTGTGGCCATTTTAAAGTGCCTACTATGGGCCAAGTATTGTGTCCACCACTTAACATACATGGTTGTATTTCCTAGTGGCAACAATGTTGTGAGGCATGTGTGCATGAAGCTTAATACTCCTATAGGAAAGATATGGTAGAATAGCATAATTGTTTCAAAATGCTTCTTCAAAAAATCCTTGAGACATTAAAATGTAGCAGATTGGAATTGAAGGATATAAAAACAAATGTCCATTTCAGTGCTTAATAGCTATAAAGAAACTACCTTGGCCTTTCATCTTATATTAACCGCTTTATATACAGTAAGGTATTATTAATACCATCATATAATAAACTTAAGAAGGAATGATAATTATGTATTTAACTAGTTCAAAATGTTAGATACATGGAAAGAAGGTGTCATGACTATTGAAACCACATACACCACAATTTTTTCTTGTCACTTCTCTTGAGCTCTGAAAACATAAGGCATTGTAATCAAGTTAAATATGATACCTATGGGCTTTTGGGTTACATTTCTCTCTTTCCCATAGTCCTCACTGCTGTAAGGTACATGGATGTACTTTGGTCAACAAGTAGGCTGAGGCAGACATCCAGGCTTGCATGACTCAGCAAGTTTAGAGTGCAGGCACATACTCCACTAGTTATATACCCTGTTTGTGTAAGCTCAGACTTGGCTCAAATCCACTATTGTCTGGAAAAGATATAACTGCCCTGCTGACATGCTCTTGGGCCCAACATGGCTCTTGTGCAGGTGCAGGCACCCAGAGAAAAAGTGAAGCTACTGATCCCTGTAAGGGAGAATGACCATCTGGCACATGGTCAACTTGCTCGTGCCCAGAGAGAGAAAGAGTTAAGCTGCTAACCCTACAGCTGGTCTTGCAGGCTGGCCATGCAGCTGTGCATGGAAGCTGGCTGCTGGGAGAAGCCGCAGACAATCAAGGTAAAGGTGTAAGTAAGCTGCTGATGAGAGAGCTGCTGAATAATGCCATGTCTCATTTACCTGCTGTCTCTCAAGTGTTCTTCCAGCTCCCTGCCCTATGTCTACCCACTCCCCTCTGCCCTCAGCTGGGGCTGGAACCTGACCCTGGGCGTGACACTTGGCGTAGTCATGGACCTAACAATTGGCAACGAGGATGAGATGAGGTGAGTGAGTCTTCAGTCCCTGAGGGCTCTTGAATTGACTTTGTGGCCACAGCATGAGCTGTGATACCTGGTGGCTGCCATGCTGTGAGGATGAGCCCCTGTGAAAACATGGGAGGCAGTGGACAGGTCTCCTGTGAGTGTGGAGAAGGCGCTGAAGCACCTGGAAGTGCACAGCACCGAGAAAAAGAGTGTGCCTTTGCCAGTAGAGTCAGATGGGCATTTGTGGCTGTGCTGTAGGAAGTGCATGTCCAGTCCCTGAAGGACAAGTGCAGGGAGGAGGAGGAACCTCCGTTGTGGGCTCACCCTGTGATCCACCAGAAAATCGAGCTTGAACAGCTGTTGGGTGTTCAAGTCCAAGGGTCAGCCCAGGGATTCCCTACCACAGTGAAACACATTTCCTTTGGTGCCTGTGTCCCTGCTGAGTTGTGGAGGTTAAACAAGTAATGTCGGCAGTGATGTACAGACTTAGTGAAAGTCATTTGAGAGAAGGACATTGCTGCGCAACCTGGTCCCGCTTGAGCATTCCAGTTCACAGGTTGCCTGCTGCAGTCAGGTGGAATTGTAAAGCCTTTTCTATTTGATAAGAGACTGGCTGAGATGCCCAGCTTGGGGGGCACTGGATGACCAGAGCCACATGTGAACTTGGCAATCCACTGGTCCCTGCACCTGGATAAGTTTCCAGGCAAGGCTGCATAGATAGCTATGAAAGCTGGTCAGTAAAAGCAAAACCTGTGTCCTTGCACCTTGGCATCAGCTGCTTGACTCCCCATTTGTGCACTGTGTATGTCTCTCCCGTACCTGAAAACGTTCTGGGGGTGGATGTTTTACATGGCTTGGCAGCTGTGCCGTCTATCACAGACTTGATGGACCACATGACAATGGAACTAGGATGGTACAACTGTGTGGTGGACTTGACCAATGCATTTCTCTCCATTGACATTGCTCCAGAGAGCCAGGAACAGTTTGCCTTCATGGGAGGGCGAATCACAGTGTTGCTGCAGGGCTATATGCATAGTCCCACCATGTGTCATGATCTTATTGATGGTGTTATGTTAACCTCTGATTCTCTTGCAGATTTAGAAGTGGCAATGCCTCACTTGCCTGGGATTGGTATGATAAGACTGAGGCAACCTTTCTGGCCAGAGGTGCCCATTTAAATTTAATGTACATGTGACCACAGATAGTTTCAGTTAGGGCTTTTTGCAGTGCATGGAGTGCCTCGGAGTGCCAATAGGCTTTTGGTCACAGATGTGGAAGAGAGTTGAGTTCCGGTATTCCTTAATAGAGAAGCAGTTAGTAATAGCAGGATGGGTGCATTCATGGGTAATGACCCCCACCTTCCCCCGACAGAAAACGCAGTTAGTAACTGCATATGCTGCCCTTCAGCCTTGTGAGAGCATGGCAGGGTGGGTTACAGTCGTTGTGTGGATGATTTACCCTATAGCGGGTTGGGTGCATTCATGGGTAACAACCTCCCAGACTGGGATGGCACAGACATCCAGTTTAGTGAAGTGGGGTGCCTACTTGGAACAGTGGAGTACACTGAGTACAAGTCCCTTAGCAGCAGAATTACAAGAAGCCTTAGGATCTG